GAGCCAAAATGACTTGGGGGGCCCGCCGAGCTGACGGGAGTGCTGCTTATCTATCGGGCGCACGCGCAGTACGGAGTCGTGAATCTGGCGAGTGGGCCCCAGACCCACGTCCAGAAGGTGAAGTGCTGAGCGGCCGCGTCCTTCCGCGAAGGCTCTAATTCAACAAACTTCGCGTGTCCAATTATACGTACACTTGTAGATAAAACTAACATGTGTTGCTGTAAATCATGTACACCCCATAGCCCCCCCCCCCACCGGGGCCACGCCCCATGCGCGGACCGAAGGCGGTGGACCCCTTCTGGGATTCAAAAGCGTGTAAACACTAAAGGAAATACATGACCTTGGCTTCTCGGGCGCTTGAAGATCGAAGGGGGCCCCGAGACGGCTCTTCAGGGTCTAGAAGTGGCCCAGGATGGCTCCAAGACGGCCCAAGATGCTCCCACCACGGCCCAAGAGCCCCCAAGACGGCCCAAGCTCCGAGAGGACCCCAAGCAGGGCCTCCGGAGGCAAGAAGCATTGGACAACTCTGGACTTCTCGGGCTCCAAACATCCCAACGCCGACCCATAGGCCTCCAATCTTGCCCCAAGACGGTCCCAAGAAGCCCCGAAGTGGGCCCCAGGTCGGCCCCAAGGTGGCCTAAGAGGCCCCCAAGACAGCCCCAAGACGGTCCAATTGGGCCGCAAGACGGCCCAAAAGATCCACAGGACGGCTCCACACCAAAAGGGTCCAGGATGGCCCCCAGGACGGCCTCCGAATGCGCTGGACGGCCCAAGAGCACCCGAAGATAGCCCAAGACGCCCCAAGACGCACCAACAGGTCCTCAAGAAGCCCCTGAGCAGCCCCAAAATGTCCCCAAGAAACCCGGAAAAGCCTCCAAGGGCGCCCAGGGGGGCCCAAGCACATACTCTAAACATTCTGGGCGTGCACCCCGCGAAGGGCGAGGACTCGACGTATCGGAGAAGGTACCACTCCAAACATGAGGCCAGTGCCGCCTGAATTGTCGACGGAGCGCGCCGAACCTGCAAAGAACCGGGACCCATCGCGAACCCACGCGCATTAATCCATGTTTGCGCTTTCTCGTATTGGGGATAAATCCTGTTGATGCCCCCTCAACGCGGACCGATTTGTCTGGTCGAAGCATGTCCCTCGACGCTCGCAGCCCTTCTGCTGTCGAGGACGACCAGCGGGGGTACTGAGCCAGGGCTTGCAATCACAATAAGGTCTGCCGCGCGGAGCTCCTCACAATTTCAGCCCTCCGACCAACCGTGGAGCCCCAAGCTCTTGCCTGTTCAAAGGATTCCGCGCCCCCGACGCCAAAGACCACGAGTGTTTCAAGGATGCTGCACCTCCGAGCCCTGCCTTCCTGCAGGTCCCAAGGACTATACTTTCTACTCCCACTCCTTCTCCTGGTCGCCCTCCTATGACTCATCCTCCTCGATCACTCCCTCCTCCATCCTTCCACTTCCCTCTATCCGTCCTCTTTTAATTCTTCGTAGTCTCTCCTCCTCTACCCCCCCTTCCCTCTCCCCCCTTCCATCCTCCAACCTGCCTGCTCCCACCTCCCCTCTCCCACCTCCCTCTTCTCACTCCTCCTCCTCCACCTTCTCCTCTCCCCTCCTCATTCCCTCCGTCCTCCCTTCTGGCCCGACCACCAGGGTTAGTACCATTCCGGCACTTCACGACCGCCCGAATCGAGGTCCCCCCATCGCAACCCGACCCAACCGTTCCCCAGCGCAACCCGGGCGCCCGAGCCAGGGTCCGCCCTATCCGAAACAAGTGCCCTGTAGTACGGGCCGCCCTCCTGCCTGTCTGTCAGGGCCCGCCCGCCCCCGCAAGAGGAAGGGCTCTCCCCCAAAAGTGGCACGATCGAACACGAAAAGGGCACAACGTGGATGGCCTGGAGTGCACAGGCGCGCGGGGATCACTTCTCGACGTCGGTGTGCTATTTGTAAACCAGGGATGGCGAACACGCCCATTACCAGGCCCATCTGGGGCCCGATACCTGCCCGAAGTCGGCGCGCTCCATCGAAGCGCCGACTTCAGCATCTCCAGCGTGGTGGCACTATAACATCAACGAACAACAGAAAACAGCATTCGAATGGTCGTCGCCGCTGTTATCTTGCCTTCTCCTGCCTTCTCTTGTCCGCCAGCGCCCCCTCCCGCGACCCCGCCCGCACGGAGCGCAAAGGGCCCCTCTCCCTTGGCGTGCGAAGCTCGCCACAGCGGCGGCGCTGGAGGCGCCTGTCAGGGGCGTCCAGCGCCAGCCCAAGAGATCTGCGCGGACCACCGAAACTCGATGCTTATGTACCTTTTGCTCTTCGGGTCACGCGACCCACCCACACGGTCTGCTTGGCAGCGTCGCGCGCGGCGCTTCGAGAAGTGCCAGGGCCAGCGGGCCGAGGGCAGCGTGAGGTGCGAGAAGGAAGACAGGGCACGACGACGAGAAGAGAGGCGACAACGACAGGCGACCAGCACGCCCACACACACTCACACACACACTCACACACACACACGCAAACCAAGCATACACACACTGTTCCTCCAGCGGCGAGGTGGCGGCAGTGTCAAAACACACACACGCACAAACACACACAACCACACACATATCTCTGTGAGCAAAGTGCCGGCGCACCGGCACGCTTTCAATCGCAAGAGCGTCTAGCTGTTGGGGAGACGCCAGGTGTCTCGTCCCTCTTGCTATGCACCGACGCCCCGCGGGTCGCGCCTCCGATGCCGCGTCCAGGCCGACCTGCGGGCACGCGCAGAGGCGGAAGGGGGGCGTGCGACGCTGCAGACCCCCCTGGAGAGGCTCGCCACTACTCTCCATTCGCATCCCTCGTGTTGCGTTCGGTGGGTTGGAAACGCGCGCCTTGAGCAACAGTTATCTTGAACGCAAACCGACGCCTTCTGGCGTCTTGAACGCGACCCAGAGCCCCCCTCCGTCCCCAAGATCCCACGTCGTCGAAACCAGCGCAACGTTGCGAAACATCAAGACAACTGCTCTCGGCACCAGCTCCATGCGGCATGTCTCGGGCTGGGTCGATCAGTAGGGGCCCAGGGGACCAAGATCGGGGCGAAAACGCCCGTGTGGGGCTCTGAGGGTTGCCCATTCCGTCCTTCGGACCCCCCCTTCCCCGATCCCCTTCCTCCGCAAAGCCCCTTAGAGGATCCTCTCAGAGCCCCCCTTGCACTGCGATGTGTAAAAAGCTTGTCAAGTCCCCTGGCACCTCGACGCCCGGACGAAAATCAGCATCCCCCCCCCTTGGATTCCTTTGTCTCGGCGACGGCCGTCTTCTGTTCTACTGCCCCTGCCCCCATGCCAAGTTCCCCTACCCCGCTCTCCATGATCGCCCCCTCCCTCCAACCCATCCCCCCATCCTCTCTCAGACTCCCGAGGTAGCGAAACAAGCGCGACGTCGTGAACAAAAGAACACGACCAAAACACTCGACCCCACCATTCCGCGGGACCTCTCGGGTCGCGTCGATCCGTGAGGGCCCACGGCGGCCCTGCGAGAGCCCCCGGAGGACCGAAATTGCCAAATACCTCCCGTCGCTTCTGGCTTTCCACTATACGAGATGCGGTGGGGGAAGACCAAGACCAGAGGTCCTCCGCCGGAGGCGATCTTGGTCACCGTCCATCTTGGCCACCGTCAATTCCGGGATCGTCCTCGCGAAGATCGGGGAGGGCCGGCATGGGCCATGACCACGAGCGTCGTCGACAAGATCCCCCGACAGCCTGGCCATGGCCATCGTGCGCCTGCCCTCGAAAGCCTAGGAGGCCCTGGCCCTGGCCATGGCCCTGGTGCTTCTGCCATGGCCATGGCCACGATCCCCCCGCAGCCTGGCCATGGCCATCGTGCTTCTGCCACCGCAGGCCCGGAGGCCCTGCGCCGTGCACGCTTCGGCGCTCGGGGAGCCGCCCCCCCGAGACCCCGGGATCGGGCGGAGGGCCTCGGCACCGCTGAGCCTCCGCGCGGGTGTCGAGGAGGACCCGCTCGGCGGCGACCCCGGGGCGCCCTGCCGCTCCCGGGGGGGGGGTCGTCGCCGCCGCCGGCCGCCGCCGTCGGGCCGTCGGCTGCCGACGAGCCCCGAGATCCGGGTGCTGCCATGTGTCACACTGGGCGAGTCTGCCTGGTTTCGGGCCCCAGGACCATCACGGCTCGGTTCGGCTCGAAAAGTGCAGCAAGCAGATGGGGTCCAGGGCTCTGGTCAAGGTTTGTACGATACTGTTTTTGTTTTGCAGTGACGTCGGATCTTAGGGACGCCGTCGTCGTCGTCGCAGTCCTCGTCGTCGTCGACGTCGTCGCAGTCGCCATCTCCGCCGCCGTCGCCGCCGCCATGGCTGTCGGAACTAGTCGCCACCGCCGCCGTTGAAGGGAGGGTGGCGAGAAGGAGGAGGGCCCCGAGGATGGAGTGAGGAGAGGGAGCAGCAGGGATGAGACAGGACGGCGACACGAGAGCAGGACGGGGACTGAGGAGGAGGGGCGAGGGAGGCGGAAGAGGTGAAGGGGGTGACGACAGGGGGCCAGGGATGAGGGGAGGAGGCGGGAGGAAGAGTAAGAGGAAGAACCTGGAGCAGTAGCACGAGGCGGACGTAGATGAGGAAGAACGATGACAGAAGGGAGGCCTCCCCACTTCTCCTGCATGCAGGGGCCCAGGAAGGCCCAAGGTGGGCGTCGCGGCACTGGCTCAGAGGCGGAAAGGGCTGCACCCCGTGGCGGCCCCTAGGTCTGATCGGGTTGCTGCTCTAGCAAGGCTCAAAGCACCTGGGGCCCGTTCGACTAGTCACGGTGTCGTGGTTCGACTAGCCTCAGGGCTTCGGGGCAGGAGCGAAATGTGGAGCGCACCCGATGCCTGCTTCCGCGGAGCGCATGGGATGCACACGTGGATCCGCATGACCTACCTGCGATAGAACGAAAAATGCAGCCGCGAGGCCACCCATGAAAAATGGCTGGGCAAGGCTTGCCGAACTCACCATCTGCACGTGGGGGTCTCAATCCTACACGCTCACGGTCTCCTCGCCACCGCCCTTGAGCGCATCCGTGGTGCCTCGGAGCACGGGCGCTTTTACGTTTGACACCCTCTTCGACAGCCCCTCCTGAAACGAGTTGGCCCTCTCAGACGCCTGCTTGGCGACATCGTCAGCCTTCTCGGACGCTCGCTTAGAGATCTCGCTAGCCTTCTCGGACGCCTGCTTGGCTACATCGTCCAGCGCAGCGTTGAGCAGAGCGCGCGATGGGGCCGTCTCCTTCTCGAGGTACTTGCCGGCCTTGTCCAGGCCCTTGATCGATTTTGCTGAGAAAACCTGGGCGGACTTCTCGGGGGCGTCGAAGGAGAACCCCAGCACCGGATTATCCTCCGGCTCGAGCTGGTTCAAGGCCACTGCAATCGAGAACGCCACAACTGCCAAATAAGAGACGCCCTCCGTGAGCCTCAGGAGGGCAAACAGTCCTGAGGGGAGCCCACAGCCCCGAAAAACTCTCGACGTCAGCGACCACAACACCACCCCAGACACGGCCAAAATGGCCGCGATTCCGTAGACGCCATCCTTCGGCCCGTAGATTCCCTCCGGCCCCGCTGCGAGCTCCAGCCCCCTCCCCGTGGTGGCGAGGATGAACGAGTTGTAGAGGCTCACTGGCACGTAGGGCAAGACCGCGAGGCTCACCACAAGAGTACCCACGGCGCCCACCGGCCCACTCGTGTCCAGGGCGCGACCGTCCTCGATGGTGATGGGCAGCGATAGGGGGGGGGTGGACCAGCTCAGGGGGGGGAAGCATCGACCTGGAATCGGTGGTGCATCGCCGATAGATCTGCGATAGGCCCCCGACAACGAATCCGCACACTCCTGGACGAGGTGGGCTGTCAGGCCCCTATCGGCGATGAGTGGGCGATTGGGGGCCGATGCGTCCCCCCCTGAGCCTATCCCGCCCCCGAACGTTGCCCCTGAGATGGGTACGCTGGGCGCCTTGGACGAGCCGCTCGACGCCCCAGCGTCGGCCCTGATGGCCTCGGCCTCGGCCTCGGCCTCGGCCCGAGCCGACATGGGCACCTTTCGGAGCAGGGCGAGTTGAGACAACGGCACCTCCAAGCCGGCTCCTGGACCCCCCCCACAGGGCCACACCGCACCAGCTCCCCGAGCCGCGCCCAGCCGTGGCGACGAGGAGGCCCCATGAAGGCCAGCTGTCGTGGCACCACTTCGCCCCCCTCTGCACTTTGACGGCCTGGGCCCGCCGGCGAGCCAGCCTGAGCCCCGCGGCCGCGGCACCGCGCGCGAGCGGCGGGGCCGCGGCGGCCGCGAACGAGCTGCCGCCCAGGCCCCGCGCACCGGCGCCCGCGACTGCAGCGCAGGCGAGGGCGGCCACGGGAGCGGGCCGCCCGCCGCTGCGCCGAGGTGCCGCCGGCCTCCGCATCGCACCGTCGGCCCTGGGCGGTGTGCAGAGCCAGACATGCTCGCGTCGTGGAGAAGTCGGGCGGGAGGTGCTTGGCAACTTCCGGCCTCTGGGGGGGCCCTTATCAGGCCCAGGGACTGTTCAACAACGACTTGGGACGTAAAACTGGTTCCGGGGAAAGGGTCGGGACTGCGAGGGACCGCGCAATGAGAAAATCAGGACATCGCATGTCTTTGGAGAGCGCGTGCCCAAGCGGCCCGAGCCAAAACGGCTATGGAGCCCCTGAAGCATTATCGGTCCTCCTCGGTCTCTTGAAGACTGGAGGAGAATCAGACGAGACAACGGCAACCCTCCAGTGCGGTTTCCGTTCTTTTTTGGGCCTCCTGGAAGCTTCTCGTCGCAATAGCTGGATCCGCATCGGACATCGGATCAGGGTGGATCCCAGGAGAGGTCCAGGGACAGATTCTAATGGCGGGGGAGGGGGAAGCGGGGGGAGGCGTCTGGAGGCGGGGAGATCCCCTGTTACATGTCGCTGCGTTGGACGAGCTGGTCGGACAAGCTCGGCAGCACAGCAGCGGAAGGGAGGACGTCGGGAAGAGACGAGCCAGAATTGCGCTGCAACACCTTACTCCATGAGAGCCATCGGAGACCACTGCATCGGCCTGTTACCCAGTTTGCGAATTCAAATATCCCCCCCGTGGTCATGGTGGACTTTGTGGGATGCAACTTCATGCGTACCCTGATGTGGAGCGCAAGCGGCTGCGCGAGAAGTACAGCGGCACGAGTAGCTGAGGCGTGAATGCCAAATTGGCAAGCATCTTACCAATGCAGCAACGGCTCACTGTTAGATTGCACGCTAGAGCACGGCCGTCCTCCCCTACGCGTTCCACGTCCTTTCGGACCTTCTGTCAGTTGCCAGCCATGGTCAGAACCAGAATTGCCTGCTCAACTCAATTTGTCCGACTACCCACAATCGCCACTTGGCCCTCATTCGCTGGTCAATATGAACCTGCACTTCCTCGTGCCCCAAATCCCATCCTTGGATGCCCCTGTCGATGTCTCCTCCGTCATGCGCGACATCTGCGGCTTGCACTGCGACCCGCCCATCTCCTCAACCGATGCGAAGCGCCTGGGTCTTCTTCTGTAATTCTGGCAACATTGGAAGTGGGTGGAGGGACGATCGATGGGGGACGGGCGCACACGGGGAAGAGGAGCCGAGGGATGCCCTCAGATCTCCCCCCCTCCCTAAAAACCGCGAAGGCATGCGAGAAGCGTCAGCAGCCTCCCACCTCTCCCTGTCTTTCTTTCGACTGCATGCGCCCAACGGCCGCGGCCCCCCCGCGGCAGACACAGGGGAGCGTCCTTCCTCCGTCTGGGGCTCATGTGCACAAGCGCAGGCAGATGACAGGGTAGCACACACCGTCAGCCGCAAGCACGGACGAGTTCTCTAGATCACTGGCAGAGGTTCTGCCTGCGTCTCCTTATCCTGCTTCTCCTGCTCGCCAATGCTGGTCCTTCTCGGCCTCCTCCACCCCCTCTTTACCTCCTGGCCCACACCTCCCCCAGGCGCGAATAAAACACAACAAACGGTTTTCACCGCGGGCCTTGCAGGGAAGGGTGATCCGAGTCCCAAGGCCATCGACCGAAACTACGCCCGACGAGCGAGAGTTCCGAAGACTGATGTCGTGAAACAAAATGTCGGATTCCTGGGCACGTGCTTCGTCATCCTCACCCCGTCCCTTCTCTATCGGCTCTACGCAAGAATAACCCTGGGGGGCCGCGGGGGGGCCAAACCCAGGCGCGAAAGACGCTACTGTCGCGTCGTTTTCGGCGAGCGGGGGACCATATGTGGCCCGCACCAAAGGTCACTGCGGCGAAAGGTCACTCTTACTCGCAGTCGACTCTACGCCTCCACTTGACGCAATCGACTCTCGACTCCCTCGGAGTACTCTGCCACCTGGCCACCCGACAACTGGTCAATCTGGGCGGTCCCATCCTACCCAGCAGAAGCAACTACAACGTCTACGCTTTCGCTTGCGATATGGGCGTGGCAGAATTGCGGGGCGCACATCGCGTGTGGAAGGGCGTGTCGCCACGGTGCCCGACTTACTTTCTTCAGAATTGGCCTCGCGGTGAGGCGCGGCGCACGTTTGCTCTCCTTCAAAATTCCGCCATCGTGCCTGCGAGGCACGAACTGGAGTGTTCTCAGGTCGCTTGCTCAACCCCCTGAGTCTCAACCCTGGAAGATCTCTCAAAGGTCCAGGAACCGTAACTCTCAAATCTCCTGGGGCTGCCCGCGCGCCTAGGGCGTCTTGCAGCATGACTTCTTCGGGCCCAGGAGGCCCAGAGAAGGGCGAAGAGGCCTCTGACCTACGGCCGAGGCGCGGTGGCTGGATGAGCCTAAGGCCACTGGACCCACCGCCCCCTGTCCTGGCCCAGCAAGAGCCCAAGACCCCCTGTCCTGGCCCAGCAAGAGCCCAAGACGGCCCAAGAGGCCCCCAAGATGCCTCCAAGACCCAAGAGGCCTCCAAGTTGTTTTTTCTTTTTTTATTTAAAAATAGAGAGCGCGAAAGCGCAGGGGGTGAGGCGTCACCCGGCTCGACACTGTGCAATCGAGCGGGGGCGACGGGGCAGCAAGTGCGCTGCCGACGCAGACGGCGCTGGGGCCAGGCGTGGCATTGCAACCAAAGCCGCAACAGCACCGAGAAAGGTTGAGCCACGGTCGGGGCGGGCCTGCGTCCACCCCCGTGCTCGAGTGCCATGAGATCCCTCCAGCTCGACGGTACCCCAAGGCTCGGGTACAAGGCTGGCTGCGTAACCAGCACCGCCGAGAGGAGGGAGAAATAAGTGTGCGACGCTCCTTCCCCCTGAGGCGGGGTGCCTGACACGCGCGCAGGGCGACACATATGCGCACGCGCACACACACACACACACACCATGCACAGCTCGACAAAAACGCGGCACCCCAAGGCTCGGGTACTAGGGCCGGCTGCGTAACCTGCACCGCCAGTTGGGACGAGAAAGCGCAAGGTGGCAGTGTAGCCACCAAAGACAAGCCAAGATCGACCGCCCACGCAAGGACGACGAGACCTGCCGCCCCAGGTGCAACGAGCGCCAGGACGACGGCATGCCTTGCCCCAGATGTGGGGTATGCACACTGACCTGCCCTGGGGGTCAGTCCCATCGGGCCGTATACTTACTGAAACAAAAACAGGACGACGCCAGGACGACATCCAGGCAACCCCAGGTGTACCTAACCCTGGTGGGCGGGCGCCTGGACGGCCCCTGGTCTGCCCCTGGTGTGGGCCCGGCTCGCCCCCTGAGCTAGTGGCCCCATGGCGGGCCCTCCAGATACGGCCAAAGACCAACTGGGCAGAGCGATCAAGGACCCACCGCCTTCCGCTCCAACGAAAGGGACACCGACTAGCAGGCAGACGAGACAGAGAAGGGAAAGGCCGCGGTCGGGGCTCCATTAACCCCCGCCGTTGACCCTACCATGACACAGTACTGAAACAAGAAATCATGAGCCCCAACGAGGGGGAACAAAAGCTGGCCAGCCTAAAGAGATCGTTTAGTAGAGAAAGCCGTTCTGCACTGCTTTGCCCTGTGCTGTGGGAATTGGCCCAGGAGGAGGGCCGCCAGATTCTTGCGCCCACGGCGCGCGATCGGTCGACAGGGCTTGCCCAAACCATCGGAACGGACCCGAAATCGGCCATACAGTCCACACGCAGAGCAAAACACCGTGCCCTGGACCCCCGTCTGGAGCCGGTGAGTATGATGAATGACCCGGCCGAAAAAAAAACGTCGGTTCCACAAAGCGAGCAACAGCACGGTACGGCGTATTCAGAAAATCAAAGGCGAATTTCCTAGCCGTGCGTCCGTCACACAAGGAGCACTGCCAAAATGGGCGGTGAGGATTCGGGATATTGTGCTGCGACTTACGCAGGGCACGGCTGACCTTTAAAGTCTCACGAGCATGCTTGGAAAGTTTCGGACGTTCAACCTTGGGCCGCGGCGGAGGAGGGACACGGTGGGAGGCACAGTCAAGGAGGACCACTGCTAAATGTTTCCTGACCACCACCGCGACCTTATCAACCAATTCAATCTGAGCACGCTGCGAGTATGGAAGCTGGGCTTCCTCAGCAAAAACCTCGGCCAACTCGTCCGCTCTTTGATTCGCAAAGAAATGGGAGAGCGGGATCGAGCGTTCCTGGGCTCCAGCGACCGAAAGGTGGGACTCAACCTTGAAGAGCCGCACAACTAATCCAGGAGTGTCTCTGATCACCGCTTGGAGCTCAAGCCAATCGGTAATGCTGCTGGTAGGAAACTCTCCGCGCATTATAGCTGAGAAACCGCGGAAGACATAGGCGCTATCGGTGATACAATAGCGTTCGACTTCAATCGGAATGGGCCTCGTGGCCCTCAGAAAGTTTCCGAAAGCTCGGAGCTCTCCTCTGTTCACAGATTGTTTTAATTCCAGTGGCCCACCCCAGGATTTGATCTCAGACAATCTGCTCGCCTGGAGGTGGCTTCCATCCTGGAAAAGAATGGTGGACCAACCAATGCGCCTAAGTCTAGGGTCGGCTGAGTGGCCCCCCCCGCTGGCGTCGCCAGCTCCAAACACCACACCACAGGGAAACTCCAACTCCGAGGGCGGGAGGTCGAGGTCGAGAAGCGGGGGCGAATCAGTGGGGGGGTCCACTTCAACCCAAGATCCTGGCACCAGGCCTCGGTGCCAGAAACAGGGCAGCTCTTCACAAGACCAGCATCGTGGATTCCCAATGCGATGCTTAGATGAGTCTGGTATTTGCTTACTTTCGGCCTTCCGATGGCCTAAGACGGCCCAAGAAACCCCCTGGATCGCCCTGAGATCGCCCAAGGGGGCATCCAAGATGACCTAAAGAAGGCCCTAAGGGGGCCCCAAGACAGCCCAAGAACGCACCAAGACAGCCCAAGAGGCCTCCAAGACGCCCGAGATGGCTTCCAAGACGGCCCTGAAGCGCCAAGAGAGCCCCAAGTCG